ATTGTTAGACTCTATTTTTGTGGAAGTTTAGTTATGATAGGTTTATCGGCTATGGGTTTAGCGGGTTTTTAGTTAAATCTTCTATGGTTTCTGGTTTTCTTATGACTCTATTATGTTTTAGCTTTGGCAATATTGTTTCAATGTTGCTTAATTTGCAAAATATGAATTGGATCTTAGTAAGGTATGTTGAAAAAAGTGGGTTTTTTTGGTAGAGAGTAATCGGTGAAAGAAATCAAACTATTGTTTTACTCTTTTTAAGATCAGAAAAGCTGAACTGAAGAAAACATAACCTTTTCTTTGAGCCATGTTTGCTTCAAAGCTTATTTACTTTGTGATAGTTATAAAATCAGCAGGTCAATCAAGTTTTAGTCTTCTGACTGAGCACAACGTTTTCGATGGTCTAATATGACACGACAGAGGTTATGGATTCGGAATTTTTTTTGTCATTTGCATGGGATAAGCCTTTTATGATCGATCCGGTTGACTTGAGTGATGTAATGAATTTGAACTTAGTTAAATGCTTGATATGTATGAAAATGCTTGTGATGGATTGTAAAAAAATTGATTGGTACAGTAGGAGGTCATGATTGAGATGTGTACATTTCAGAGCTGAAACCTTCTTTTTAGGTTACAGACTCTCAAAATCTGTCTTGAGAACCAATACAAAAGAGGAACAACATTTTCATCAATGATTCCCCTTCAAATCTCTGTTATATTTGTTGTTTCCTTGACCATTTGACATGTGTTTCGAACTCTCACTTGTATAACACAGACTAATTTGAATCACACGTTGAAAGTTTGCAAGACACATCAACATTTTTACTTTGTTTTTTTTTAGGTTTCTCTTTCTACCTCTAGTGCCTTATCAAATCTGTAAAATACAACAAAATTACTTTTCTTGAGCCAACATAAAGAATGTCTTCATCGTGAAATCATTTTGTGACTTAAGCCATTTATACTTATCTGAGTGATACTTTACAAAAACAGTATTTTAAATATGGTATATAGTGATTTTGCTAATGAAATTATATTGCACTCCAAATATCGACCGCAGGCAAATTCCCTCAATGAAAAAACACAAATTCTTTGTTGATAGATAAAAAAAAAAAATTAAACAATGTAACACGTACACCAATAATCACTCAAAAACTTGTTACTAGTACTCTCTCAAAAAGAAGCATCCACATGTGTACTAAAGCAGACAAAGCAAACAAAAAGGCTTTCTAAGCCACTGGCATTTCTGGGTAATCTGTGCTTGTTAGAGAAGCTTCCGGAGCCACAGGAAAAGGCGGAACAGGCAGAACTAAACTTTCTGGAACAGGCGTAACTTTACCTTCTTCCTTTGGAGGATGGATGATCACAACATCCGGCAATGGTGTCATCGGTCCTTGTTTGCCCGTAGGGTCCCAGTCAAGCATTATCTTCACCTTAATGCCTAGCACGCCCTGCATACAGATTTAACCAGATTCGGGTTACACAAATATACACAAGAGCACAAACATACACAGTGTTTCGAGCAAGCAACGGGATTGCAAGTTATGCACAAATATGATTCGTGTTTACAACATTCAGAGTAATTATACACAAATATGAGAGTTAAAGACACTGAGAAGTACTGACCTGTCTAAGCATAACATGCCTCACTGCAGAATCAATGTACTCCTTGGTTGGCTGACCTGATGAAACCATGTAGCCATCCTTGAACTTCATCGACTTAGCACGTTGTGCACGTAGTTTTCCACTCACAATGACCTGTAAGCATTTTGGTAAGATGATAAGAAACAATAAACAAGTATTCTTGGGA